ATTCTTGGCTTGTTCTTGATCGTAAGGGGAAAGCCTTGAGTCTTTCACCATTAAGTATGTTAGTTTTAGCTTTTTATAGATGCCCCCTTACCAGGCTGGGGAAGTTCTCTTATATTCCTGGTTTGTTAAGAGTTTTAAAATATGGATGGAGGTTGAATTTTGTCATGTTTTTATTCTGCTATTTCTATTTCTAATTCTGCTATCTATTTCTGAGATCATTTGTTGTCTGTTTTTCCTTTGGGCTATTCATATGGTGGATTACACTGATTTTTTTCTATATATATTATAGGCAGACTTGCCTTCCTGAAATAAACAGCACTTGGTTATGTTGCATTGTACTTCTAGTTTTGCAGGATTTGATTTCCTGATTTTTTTAAAAAAGGAATTTTGCATCTACATTCATGAGGGATATTGGTCTATAGTTTCCACAAAATTTTGGCTAATTCCTAGACACCCAAAAAAGTTAATTCTGACTTTTTTTTTCCAATTAAAAAATTACTTTTATGGAGTAATAGAGTTTTAGAGTTCCCTACTCCGTCAATTTCACTGATGTCACTTGCTATTTTATCACTTCAAGTAAAATGTAGAAATCTTACCATCACATAGGTCTCTTTATTTTCTACTTTTATGTTTTATGTCTTGTACATTATTTCTACATACACTGGAACCCCACCAAATAATGTTACAGTTTTAAATTTAATCCATTAAACTTATTTCAACAGAATAGTCTATTACATTAACCCAGATATTTACGTTTATATTGTTTTCCTTCATTTCCAGTGTTCTAAGTTTTTTATTTATTATTTATTTTTTAAAAAGTTTTTGAATGTTTATTTATTTTTGAGAGAGAGAGTGTGTGTGAGTAGAGAGGGACAGAGTGAGAGGGAGACACAGAATCAGAAGCAGGCTCCAGGCTCTGAGCTGTCAGCACAGAGCCTGACAAGGGACTGTCATGAATTGTGAGATCGTGACCTGAGCCGAAGTCAGATGCTTAATCAACTGAGCCATCCAGGTGCCCCATAAGTTTTTATTTTTATTTTTATTTTTATCATTTACCTTCTACCTTCTTCTAGCAATTCTTTTAGAGCAGTTCTGCTGACAAGAAATTCTCTTTGTTTTCCTGCATCCAAGAATGTCTTTATTTCACTTTCATTCTTGCAGGATATTTTTATTGTATACAAAAATCTTGGTTAATAGTTCTTTTTTTTTCAACACTTCCTAAGTATTGTTCTATTTCCTTCTGGTCTTCATGACTTCTCATGAGAAATCCATAGTCCTGTAATTCAAACTGTTTTCCTACAAGTGATGCCCCATTTTCTCCTGTCTGATTTCAAGATTTTTTTTCTTTGACTTCGTTCTCATCAATTTATGATGTGTTTGGCATGGATTTCTTTGGATTTATCCTAGTGCAGTTCTCTGAAATTCTTGGATCTGAAGGTTTGTATCTTTTGCCAAATTTGCAGAGTTTTCAGCCATCATGTCTTTAAATACTGTTTCTATACTACACTTCTTTTCTTCTCCCTTGGGATTCTGGTAACATGGATAGTGTCATGTGTTTTGACCTTGTCTCGTGGGTCTTTTAGGCCCTGTTCACTTTTTTCTAACTTTTTTTTTCTGTGCTGTTCAGATTTCTGAGGTTCTGTCTTCATGTTCTCTGGCTCTTTCCTTTATTATCTCATGTGGAGCTCATCCAGTGTGTTTTCATTTTGTTTATTGTATTTTTAAGTTCTGAAATATTCACTTTAGCAAAGTTATTAGCACTTTTATCTTATTAGCACTTTTCATTTCCCTGGTACTCTCTATTTTGGTCCTCCAAGTAGAAACCTGCAAATTTTATTACCCCAATGTACTATACCCTTTGTACAATTGCACTTGCATCAGGGACAAGCAAAGGACGACAGAAGAAGACAAGAAGTAACGGGGGTCCCTTTTGGGACCACATATTATCTGACAAGAGAGGAAGGTTTTCTTTCCTCAGAGTTGTAGGCTCCTACTGACTCTCCTTGCCCCACCTGCTTTTGCTTCCATGGATTGTTTGGGGACTGACATACAAGATAATAGAAAAGAAAAAAAGAAAGAATGATTGTGAATTCCATATTCTCTCTTTAAATTTTTTTAATGTTTTATTTATTTCTGAGAGAGAGAGAAACAGCATGAGCAGGGGAGGGTCAGAGAGAGGGAGATACGGAATCAGAAACAGGCTGTCAGCATAGAGCCCAATGCGGGGCTCGAACCCACGAACCGTGAGATCATGACCTGAGCTGAGGTCGGACAGTTAACCAACTGAGCCACCCAGGCACCCCAATATTCTCTCTTTTAGGAAACCACTTCCCCGTACAGTCGTCAGAAATGGAGGCATCTCCTGGAGTCTTCTCTGTTGGGCTAATTCTCACTTTCAAGTTTCAGGTTTCACTAAATTCAGACCTGAAAAAAACAGAAGAAAGTAACGATAAAGTCATCATCGGTGGGTGGTCCTTTGAATTCTCATGTTCTTCCCCAATCTGCCTGGTAGTAGTTATTTTCAGAGTCCTCAAATAGCTGCTGCATGCATTCTGTCCTGTTTTTAGGCTATACTCACTGAGATATATATGGGTTCAATATGCTTACTTCACCTTAGCCTGAAGTGGAGGCATGGTCCGTTGACTTTTTGGCGAAAGTGCAAAAGCAATTTAATGGTGAAAGCATAGTTTTGTCAATAAAACTGAAATTGAAATGCCGGATACCCATATGTAGTACATATGTACATACACCATACGTCAATATTCATCCACTTAAACCTACACATGCTTCAATTTGTGAGTATCACTATATTCAAAACTTAACTCAGAATGCATCTATCTCAGACCTAAATGTAAAACATAAAATTACAAAACTTCTAGGAGAAAACTTTGTGACCTTGGATTAGGCAAATATGATCCCCAAAGTATGATTCCTAAAATTACAAACCAATAAACTAGACTTCATCAAAATTAAGACCTTTCTTTTTGAAAGATATTGTTAAGAAAATGAAAAGACAAGCCATGGGCTAGGGGACGGGGGTGGTGGAAGACAAGCCACAGGCTGAGTGAAAATATTTGTAAATCACATATCTCATAAAGGACTTGTATTCAAAAAATATAAAGAGCTTTCTAAATTCAATTTTAAACCCCTCAATATAAAAGTGGGTAGATTATACGAATAGCTAATTTACCAAAGAAGATATAAAGCTGGCAAATAAACACCTGAGAAGATATTCACCATCACTAATCATTAGGGAAATGCAAACTAAAAGCACAACGAGATGCCATGATAGGAGTGCTTGGGTGGGTCAGTCAGTTGAGTGTCTGACCCTTGATTTCAGCTCAGGTCTTGATCATGAGTTTGATTCCCACACTGGGCCCCATGCTAAGCATGGAGCTTGCTTGTGATTCTCTCTCTTTCTCTCCCTCTGCCCACACCCTGCTCATGTGCGCATGCGTTCTCTCTCTAAAAGAAAAAGAAAGGGGCGCCTGGGTGGCTTAGTCGGTTAAGCGTCCGACTTTCGCTTAGGTCATGATCTCGCGGTTCGTGGGTTCGAGCCCCGCGTCGGGCTCTGTGCTGACTGCCAGCTCAGAGCCTGGAGCCTGTTTCAGATTCTGTGTCTCCCTCTCTCTCTGACCCTCCCCTGCTCACGCTGTCTCTCTCTCTCTCCTAGAAATAAATAAAAATATTTAAAAAAAATAAAAGAAAAAGAAAAAAGTACAATGAGATGCCATCACATACTTATTAAAATGTCTACAATTAAAATGACTAACTATACCAAGTGATGGTGAGAAAGTAGAGCCACTGGAAGACTCATACACTGCTGGTGGGACTGTCAAATGGTACCACCATTTGAATAATAGTTTGGAAGTTTTTTAAGCAGGTAAACATACATCTTAATATTTGTTCATTCTAAATACATCTGTCATATGACCCACCATTCCACCTCTAGGTATTTAACCAAAACAAAGGCTCAAACTTGACCTAAAGTTGCTCATTGCAATTTTATTCATAATAAGCAAAACCTGGAAGTAACCTAAATGTCCATCAACTGGCTAGTAAATTAACAAATTATGGTGTATTCATCTAATGAACTATGATTCAACAATTATTGTTACAAACAAAATGAAAGAGTGCATTTCAAAATATTATGTTGGAATAAAGAAGCCAGACCACAAAAATGCATATACTACAATTGTCTCTTTTTTCTTTTTAAAAAAATGTTTATTTATTTATTTTGAGAGAGAGAGGAGAGAGAGAATGAGCAGCGGAGGGGCAGAGGGGGAGAGAGAGAGAGTCTCAAGGAGGCTCCTCACTGTCAGCATAGAGCCCTACATGGGGCTCAGTCTCATGAACCACGAGATCGTGACCTGAACTGAGGTCAAGAGTTGGTCGCTTAACCAACTGAGACACCCAGGTGCCCCCCCGACAATTCTATTTCTATAAAATTCTAGACAAGGGAGCTATCATGATTCCTATGGGTTAGGGCAGAGAATAAAGGAAGTGAGGGAAGAGATATGAGGAAACTTTTGGAGGCAATGACTTCATGGGTGTATACATGTATTAAAAACTTATTAAACTGTATACTTTATGTGCAGTTTATTATATGTTAATTACACTTCAATAAGCTTACTTTTAAAATGGGCATTTATTTATTTTAAGTAGGCTACACACAAACTGAGATCATGACCTGAGCTGAAATCAAGAGTCAGGTGCTTTACTGACTGAGCTACTTTACTGACTGAGGGACCCCCAACATGGGTTTTTAAATCATTCTCTGTGATAGTGAAATCAGCAGAAATCCCCCTAGTTTTTTAGCTCATGGGTAATTTGCTATTTCCCACACTGTCTATTTGTGTAAATTCGTTAAGTTCATTAACGGTCATTTGGGAGGAAGCATATCGGTCACTCTCCGTTGGCCTCCATAATATCTGATTGTTTTCTGCCTCTTTATCACTTCATTCATCCCATTTTCTCATTTTGTTTATTGTTTTTTTTTTTTTTTTATGGAACACCGCACGAATTTACATGTCATCCTAGCCCAGAGGCCATGCTAATCTTCTCTGTATTGTCCCAATTTTAGTACATTTGCTGCCGAAGCGAGCACTGTTCTAACTTTTTGAGTTGAATGTTCAGTAAATATATTTCTATTCCTTTAATTAAATTGTGTTTTCCGGTATATAATTGTATCTACGGATACAAATATACAGAAGGAAGCCAGAGTTGTGCTGAATCCCCTCTCCAGATAAGAACACTACTGACATTTTTGTCGGGTTCTTCCTGACATCTTCCTGTCTGTGTAAACTATTTTGTGTGTATGCTTGAATGTGTGTGTGTACACAGAGGAGTATATAACTCCTAAGTGTAGAGAGGACCACAAACTGCACATACCCTGGTAACCAGTGCTCAGTTAACAGAACATTGCCAGCCTCTCAGAAGCCATGTTTGTCCCACTGCCCGTCACAACCCACTCCCCATCAACCCCAGGATAACTACTGTCTTGACTTCTAAGATTTTTTTTTAAATGTTTATTTAATGTTTAGTTATTTGAAAGAGACAGACAGAGCGTGAGCAGGGGAGGGGCAAAGAGAGAGGGAGACACGGAATCCAAAGCAGGCTCCAGGCTCCGAGCTGTCAGCACAGAGCCCGACGCAGGGCTCGAACCCACAAACTATGAGATCATAACCTAAGCTGAAGTCGGACATTTAACCGATTGAGCCACCCAGGTGCCCCACTACTGTCTTGACTTCTAATGACAGAGATTACTTCTGACAGACTTTAAATTTTATTCAAATGTCATCACGAAGCACACATTCTGCTTTATCTGTCTTCCTTCAATCAGCATTTACTTGTGAGCCTCATCTATGTGGCTTTAGGGGGTTGTCGTTCATTCACTATTGTTGAGCTATCTGTCTATTATGTGAACATGTCATAATTTATTTATCCACTTTCTTGTTGATAGGCATTGGGCGGTTTCCAGTTTGGGGCTATTATGAATAGTGCTGCTATAAATATTCTAGTGCATGCCTCTTGTGAGCATACGAATGCCGTTTTATTGGTTATATACCTAAGAGAGAAATTGCTGGGTCATATACATGCAAATTAGATGTATCTAACTTTGAATACTATTTTCCAACCTGATTTATGGAGTGAACAATAAGTGATGGGCATACTTCCATGTCAATTAGTGGTATTAACTATGTGAATGTACCATACTTGAGTCATTTAGTTGTTTATTGAGGGCATTTGCTTCACCTCTGATTTTTCATTAATATGAGCAATAGAATACTCCATATCCCTATAAACATATCTTTGTTCAATTGATTGATTATCATTTTAGGATAAATGCTTAAAACTGGAATTGTTGCATCCAAGGGTTGCACATGTGCCTATGAATTTTGATACACATTGTTCAGTTACCGTTTTGAAATGAGGTACAATTTGCCATCTCACCAGCTTTGACTAAGAGGGGATCTTTTTCTATATCCTCACTCGCACTGGATTTTATGTATATTTTTAACTCTTGTCAACCTGATAGAAGAATCACCTGACATCTTTGCATTAAGTTATGTTTCTTTATTAGTGAATTTAAACATACTTTTATGAATATATATTTTTATATTTTTAAAGTACATTTTATGTAAAAAAGTACATATATATATCTTTGCCATTATTCTTATCTTTTTTTATCATTGATTTATAAGAGTTTTTTATATGCTGACAAAATAATTCTTTCACTATCTATGTTGTAAATAATTATTCCAGGTTTTTGTTTACCTGTTAAGTTGGTTATGTGTGTTGTGGCTGTTGTTGTTTTTGTGCACATTTTTGATGTTGCTGTTACTGTTTTTAGCTTTTTCTTTACTGGAATCAACTTTATAAATCTTTGTCTTTGTGGTATCTGGCTTTTGTTTTGTGCTTTAAAAGGATTCTCTCACTTGAATATTAAAATACTAATCTCTGTTTTTCTTGTAGTATTATGGCTCTGTTTTTTACATTTACACCTTTGATACACCGGAAATCTCTTTAACGATACGGAATGAAGAGTTTGCATTGACTCTTTTCCAAATAACACTTTGATTATTTCCACTTTAATTTGAAATGCCACTTTACACAGTATCCAAATCCCTGAGTATCTGTGCTGTCTACTCTGTACTAAGAATTCAATTCTACTGCTTTGTTCATCCATTTATCCAATAAATACTTATGTGCCAGGCACTTTCTAATCAATTGAGCTATATCAGTATAAAAAGGAGATAAAACTCCTCTCTTCTTGGAGCTTACCTTTCAGAAGGAGATATAAAGGCAGATAATAAACCAGGAGTATTATTTTTACTTCATCTCCTGACTCAGAATGAGGAAGTTTTAATTACTATAGATTTATAGGATATTTCAATATCAGGTAGAGTTAGTTCTTCCACATTAATTATTTGGCCTCTTTGTAAATACTGAATTTTACAGACGAACTTTAGAATCAGTTGATCAGATTCCTGTATAAATCCCATTGGGATTTTGATTCTGATTGTCTGAAATTTTGGAATAAATTTAGGGAGATCTTCTCTAAGGGTGAATGGCTGGCTCAGTCAGTTGAGCATCTGACTCTTGATTTTGGCTCAAGTCATGATCCTAGGGTCATAGAATCGAGCCCTGTAGTGGGCTCTACACTGAGTATGAAGCCTGATTAAGATTCTCTCTCTTTCCCTCTCTCTCACTCTCTCTATGTAAAATAAAAAAATAAAATAAAATAAAGTCTACTTCTCTATTCAATAATTCATTTTATTCATGTGTCTTTCTATGTCCTTCAGTAGAATTTAGAATTTTTTCTATATAGATTGAGTAATTTTTGTTTGCTATTGTGAATGGAATTTTATTTTGCTTTTATCATGTTTTATACCTTATTATTATTGTATATAAGAAAGCTGTTGATGCTGGTATGTATTTTTATAACTGCCCACTTAAGTGAATTCCCGTGTTGTTCCTAAGACTTTTTAAGTTGATTTGGTCTTAGGTTGTTTGCTGTATACTGGTACATTACAAATATTTTCACTGTAAATTATACTCTGACATTGCCATGTGACTCTCCTTGTCCTGTTTAACCATTTTCATCTTGAATTCAATTTTCTTTGATATCTAAATTATGAGCTTTCTATTCTTTATAAAATTTTATTTATTTTTTATTTCTTTAAATGTTTATTTATTTTTGAGAGTGAGAGAGAGACAGAGTGTGAGCATAAGAAGGGCAGAGAGAGAGTGAGACAAAGAATCCAAAGCAGCCTCAAGCTCCGAGCTGTCAGAACAGAGCCCAATGCGAGGCTCGAACTCATGAACCATGAAATAATGACCTGAGCCAAAGTTGGACGCTTAACTGACTGAGCCAGCCAGGCACCCTGCTTTGTCTGTTTTTAATTGAAGTGTAATTAACATAGAAGATTATATTGGTTTCAGGTGTACAACATAGTGATTTGATATTTGTCTACAGAGCGAAATGATCACCCTAAGTCTGGTTACCATCTGTTACCATCCAAAGTTTCAAAGATTTACTCTCTTAACAACATTCAAATATGCAAAACAATATTATTGACTATAGTCACCATGCTGTACATTACACCCCATGGCTTATTTATTTTACAGCTGGAAGTCTGTACCTCTCGACCTCATTTCACCTACCCTAAATCCCGCTCCACTCTGGCAGCCACTAATCTGTTCTCTGTATCTATGAGTTTTGGTTGTTTTGTTGTTCATTTGTTTTGTTTTAGTTTCCACATATAACGGAAATCATACAGCATGTATCTTTCTGTCTGACTTATTTCACTTAGCATAATACCCTCAAGGGCCACCCATGTTGTTGCAAATGGTAACATGTCATCCTTTTTATGGCTGAGTAGTATTCCAGTGTGTAATATACCACATCTTATTTATCCATTCATCGGTCAGTGGACACTTAAGTTGCTTCCATATCTTAGCTAATGTAAATAATTTTGCAATGAACACAGGGGTGCACATGTCTTTTCAAATTAGTGTATTTATTTTCTTTAGATAAATACCAGAAGTGGAATTGCTGGATCATAGGGTAGTTTTATTTTTAATTTTTCGAGGAATCTCCACACTGTTTTCCATAGTGGCTGCACTAGTTTGCATTCCCACCAACGGTGCAAGAGGGTTCCCCTTTCTCCACATTCTTGCCAACGCTTGTTATTTCTTGTCTTTTTGGTAATAGCTATTCTGATAGGTACGAGGTGAGATCTCATTATGGTTTTGATTTGCATTTCCCTGATGATTAGTGATGTTGAGCATCTTTTCATGTACCTGTCAGTCATCCATATGTCTTTTTTAGGAAAAAAGTCTATTTTTCAGACAAATTGGCATTTGTTCTTGTTGTTACTGAGTTGTGTGAGTTCTTTATATATTTTATTTTATTTTATTTTTTTAAAATGTTTTATTTATTTCTAGGAGAGAGAGAGACAGCGTGAACAGGGGAGGGTCAGAGAGAGAGGGAGTCACAGACTGAAACAGGCTCCAGGCTCTGAGCTGGCAGTCAGCACAGAGCCCGACACGGGGCTCGAACCCACGAACCGCGAGATCACGACCTAAGCGAAAGTCGGACGCTTAACCGACTAAGCCACCCAGGCGCCCTGAGTTCTTTATATATTTTAGATACTAACCCCTTATCAGATATATGATTTGAAAATATCTTCTTCTGGGGCACTTGGGTTAAGTGTCTGACTTGTGATTTTTGGCTCAAGTCATGATCTCACAGTTTGTGGCTTTGAGCCCTGTGTCAGGCTCTGTGCTGACAGCATGGAGCCTAGTTGGGATTCTCTCTCCCTCTCTCTCTCTGTCCCTCCCCTGTGCTTTCTCATTCTCACAAAATAAATAAGTAAACATTAAAAAATAAAAATAATAAAAACCAAAATATTTTCTCCTATTCAATAAGTTGCTTTTTCATTATGTTGGTGGTTTCCTTCACTATTCAGATGCTTTTTCAGCAGAGATAGCACCATTTGTTTATTTTTGCTTTTGTTACCCTTGCCGTTGGAGTCAGATCAAAAAATCATTTCCAATACTAATGTCAAACAGTTTACCATGTATGTTTTCTTCTAAGAGTTT